GTGTTAGCTATTAATAATAGTGATATTTTGTTTGCTTTGGCAGCACATATATTAAAATTGGAATGATAAAGAGATTAGCATGGCCCTGTACAAGAATGACACACAAATTTATGAAGCTTTCGACTTAAAATCAATTTTTTAAAAAAACAGTAGTATCTCTTGTTTATCTATACCCAGTTCTGTCAAATCCTTTCATTTTGTTACATTTACCTTGAATAATTTTATATCTTCTCTCTTACTGATGGGCATTTAAGTTGCTGATTTTTCATTGTTACAGTGATTCAGTTCTCCAAGTTCCATATCTAGAATGGAATTGCTAAATTGCAGAGGAGCTGTGTCTTTTTTAGGTCTGGGTGCAATGGCTCATGCCTTTAATTCCAGCACTTTGGGAGGCTGAGATGGGTGGATCACTTGAGGGTGGGAGTTCGAGACCAGCCTGGCCAACACGAAGAAACCCTGTCTCTACTAAAAATAACAAAAATTAGCCAGGTGTGGTGGTGCGCATCTGTAATCCCACCTACTCAGGAGGCAGAGGCATGAGAATCACTTGAGCCTGGGAGGCAGAGGTTGCAGTGAGCCAAAGTTGTACCACTGCACTCCAGCCTGAGTGAAAGAGTGAGACCCTGTCTCAGAAAAAAAAAAAAAAATTATCTTTTTCTCAGGTGTTTTGAAGTTTCACTACAATGTGTCTAGATAAAAATTTTAACATTTATCCTGCTTAGTATAGATTGTGTTCCTGTGTTTATGAATACACATATTTTCGTCACTCTTGGAAGTTTCCTAGTCATCTCTTTGAACATTGCTTCTCCTCAGCCATTCTCTAGGCTCTTCATCAGAACTCTAGTTAGGCAAATGTTAGATTTCTTGTTTTGCATTTTAAGCTTCTCTTTCATAGTTTCTTTCTTCCTGCTCCATGCTCCATTCTGGATAATTTTTTGTTTGTTCGTTTGTTTGTTTGAGACAGAATTCCACTCTGTTGCCCCATGCCGGAGTGCAGTGGCGTGATCTTGGCTCACTGCAGCCTCGACCTGGACTCAAGCTATCCTCCTATCTCAGCCTCCTGAGTAGCTGGGACTACAGGCGTATGACACCATGCCCAGCTTTTTTTTTTTTTTTTCCTTCAATTTTCTGTAAAGACATGTTCTCACTATGTTTCCCAGGCTGGTCTCAAACTCCTGGGCTTAAGCAGTCTTACCGCCTCAGCCTCCCAAAGTGTTGGGATTACAGCCATGAGCCACTGCATCTGGCCTCTGGGTAATTTCTTTAGATCTGTTTCGATTCATAATTTGCTTTTCATCATTGTCTAATCTGCTATTTAAACTGTCCATTGAGTTTTTTACTTCAAATATTAAATTTTTCTTTGTCTTATTTGATTATTTCTCCAGTCTGTCTGGCTATATGGATAATTTCTTATTCCTTGAATGAATAATTTCTTATTCCTTGCTTAATTTTTCATTTCATCTTTTAAGGCATTTAGGTGTTTCATAAGTAATCATTTTATATTCCATAACTGAGCTTTTTAAAAAAACAAAACAAAACAAAAAACAGGGTCTCACTCTGCCATCCAGGCTACACAGTGGCATGCTCAAGGCTCACTGCAGGCTCAAACTCCTGGGCTCAAATGAGCCTCTCACCTCACCCTCCTGAGTAGCTGGGACTACAAACACATGCAACCACACCTGGCTAATTCTTTCTTTCTTTTTTTTTTCCAGTAGAGATGAGGTCTCGCTATGTTGCCCAGGCTGGTCTTGAACTCCTGAGCTCAAGTGATCCTCCCACCTTGGTCTCACAAAGTGCTGGGATTATAGGCATGAGCCACTGAGCCCAGCCTTTAACTGTTATTTTTAATATCTGAAATTCTTGAAGGTCTAAAACTATTGTTTATAGTTATTACTTATTCTTTCCTAGTGATTTGTTTCCTTGTATTTTCTTTTTAAATTGTGAGCTCAAGTTACTTTGAATGTATTCTTTTGGAATCCTGAGGGCCTAAGATGGATATGTTCTCCTCCAGTGATGATCTGGTCTTTCTTCTGCAGGCAGCAGGCATATTAATGATCTGTAACCATTACTTTTGTTGCCTTTACTAAAGAGTGGGTCCCAGGTTTAGTTAAGGATTGTCAAATTCAGCCTCCCTATCCTGCTGGAGGGCCTGAGGTTTTCTCTCCTGACACTCCGTTTGTGTTCAGGACAACTGTACTTTTCCCATTTGCTCACTTTCCTGTTTTTCTTGCTCAGGATTTCGCTTATTGACCTTTTTCTTTCTGTCTGTCTTTTTTTTTTGAGAGAGAAGGGTAGGATATGGGTAGGGAACATTCTTAGTGATTTCTTCAAGTAAGCCCAAGCAATGCATTAAAAAGTATGTTCTAGGTTCAAGTTGTATTTTAACAAGAGAACCCTTAAGAATATCTACTCTTATGGTACTGCTGGAAGCAGAAGTGGATGCCACACTTTGTACCTCTAGGAATTGGTGCTGTCACGGTTAGGACTATACTTTAACCCAAGGATATCGCTACAAATAAAGTATTTTTTTTATGCTTGAGAGAGACTAAAATGTTAGGAAAATCAGGTCTGCTGTGACTCTTGAGCACTGGGTTGGATGAGGGTGGGTCTGTTCTACAATTGATTCTGTGGAAACTAAGCTGAAATTGGGGTGGGGTGGGGGATGACCTTTTACAGGGTGATGTTGTAGGTCTGGAGCGGGGCGGGGGAAAGACCGAGGTGATGGTGATGGAAGGTGTGACTGCTGTTGCCTACACACTGGATGAAGGCCTCATCGAGTTTGGAACAGCCATTGATGATGGCAATTACACCCGGTGAGAGGCTGGCCAATAGCCAGTGAGGTGGTGGGAGAGTCTGGTTCTGAGAGGGAGGACCTGGGGTGGGGTGTAAAACTGGCCAAAACTGTTAAGGATCCAGTGATCCTGGGAGGAGATGAGACAAACATGGCCCTTCCCCCTTCCCTTGCCCCATCATCAGTCTTCTGCTGCGTCTTCCTGACTCATCTCTCATTCCTTTTGCTTTGCTTCCTTCCCTTTCCAGGGCAACAGCTTTCTTAGAGACTCTGGAAATGACCCCAGAAACAGAGGCAATGTGGAAAACCTTGAGTCACTGGCGCTAGAGGCAAGGCAACTACACATTGCGGAGAGGTGAGGTGTAGAACTCTCTTCAAAACATCCTGATGTCTCCATCCTAGTGCAGACCACTGCCCTCGCCCACCTGCAATATTGCACAGCCTGTTAATTAGTCTTACTGATACTGTTTCTTGTACCCCTACCATCTGCTCATTTCAGAGCAGCTGAGGTAATTTTTTTAAACATAGATTGTGTCTTTTTCATGACTGGAACCTTCCACTAGCTTACTCTTTTACTTGGTATAAAATCCAAACTCCTTGTGTGGCCTTAGCCCTGAAGGTTTTTGGCCTTTGCTTCCTTCTCATGCCAGTCCCCTACTTGCCCATTAGTCTCCAACCACACTGGCCTCCTTCAGGATCTGTGAGCGTACCAAGCTCATAGCTGCTATAGGGCCTTTATACTAGCTGTTCCCTCTCAGGAATGACTTTTCCCCATCCTGCCACGACTGGCTTTTTCTTGTATTCAGATCTCAGCTCAAATGTCAGTTCATCAGAGAGACCTTCTCCAACTACCAAATAAGGAGCCGGATCAGTCACTATAACAGGGGCGTCCAATCTTTTGGCTTCCCTGGGCCACATTGGAAGAATTATCTTGGACCACACATAAAATACACTAACACTAATGATAGCTGATGAGCTTAAAAAAAAAAAAAAGGAAAAAATAAAAAGAAAATCTCATAATATTTTAAGGTTTATGAATTTGTGTTGTGCCACACTCAAAGCCATCTTGGGCCATGGGCTGAACAAGCTTGATCTATAGTATTACATTACTTTATTTTTTATTATCTCTACTTTTACTAATTATTTGTCTCTATTAGAATGGAAGTTCTCTTGAGAGCAAGGCCCTCATCATCCCTTTTCTCCTGTGTGTCTCCAGTGACAAGCACACTGCCTGGCACATCATAGATGCACATCAATTTGTATTTGCTGAACCAATGAATTAATGACGATTCTGTAATAATATTACATTAATGTCTTTGCTTCCATGCCATAGGTGCTTTTCTGCTTTGGGCCAAGTAGCAAAAGCTCGATTCCTGCATGAGACCAATGAGATTGCAGATCGAGTATCCCGGGAATATGCAAGTATTATGCTCCTGATTCATTCTGCCTCCCAAGCTGATTCCTAGCTTTCCAGCCATACCTGGTTTCCTTTAGCCTGCCCACCCCACCTCTACCCTCCAGCCAGACCATTTCATAATCGCTTGCTAAACCTCAAACCTTTAAGCTCCATGAAGTGTTTTACCTTCCCAAGTCCTTTATTTTCTACATCCTTCTGGCCTTCCAATCTCAGCCCTCACAAACAGAACGGCAGCACCTACAGAAAAACCAGAACCTCCTTTTTCCCCACAGGGCAGAGAAGGGACAGACTTTTATCAGGTCCGAGCACATCTAGCCATGCTGGAAAAGAACCACAAACTGGCTGAAATGATCTTTTTGGAACAGGTAACAGGAAAAGAGGGACAGGATGCAGGGGGGATATGAGGGAAAAAGATGGAAAAGGGGGAGCAAACTCAAGGGAGGAAAGTGTGCTGGTGAGCGAGGCTTCCAAATGTTTGGGGAAAGCTTTCAGAGAGGTTTACATAGTTAATTTCACCCCTTCCTTTATTTCCTCCTCTTGTGTTAGTCCTTACTTTTCTAGACAAACTTCCTTCTTGGGCCTTTGATTACTTCTTTCTTTCATAAGCAGTCTGCTTCCTCCCCTCCAGTCTGGACCCTGTCTTTGCAATTCTTGTGCATAGGGGTCGATCCACGTTTTGTTGTGGCTGGAAACTTACACAATTTGAGGAACTCTCTTTAAGAACAGTTGCCTTAGGCTGGGCGTGGTGGCTCACGCTGTTAATCCCAGCACGTTGGGAGTCTGAGGCAGGTGGATCACATGAGGGCAGGAGTTTAAGACCAACCTGGCCAACATGGTGAAACCCCGTCACTACTAAAAATACAAAAAATTAGACAGGTATGGTAGCACATGCCTATATGTAATTCCAGCTACTTGGGAGGCTGAGGCTGGAGAATTGCTTGAGCCTAGGCAGCGGAGGTTGCAGTGAGCCGAGATCGCACCACTGCCTTCCAGCCTGGGCGACAGAGCGAGACTACATCTCAAAAAAAGGAACAATTGCCTTGAAAAGGGCTTGTGCAAATAAAGAGCCCTGAAGCTTTAGCTTTTTTTAGTTTCCCAATATTTTTGCTGGTATAGTAGTTAAAAGGTAAGGTTTTTGGTCCTCATGTGCTGCCATCTTAGCCAGGCTGAGGAGAACTTGCTGCTTTCTGATCCTCAAATCCTTCTGTCATCCTCTCTGCTCTGCCTGTTTCCCCTAGAACGCTATGGAGGAGGCCATGGGCGTGTACCAGGAGCTACACCGTTCGGATGAATGTATTGTTGTGGCTGAAGCCAAGGTATCTATTTTGTCTTCTCCACAGTTGTTCAGAATTTGGTTCTGCCAATTTCAAAACCTTCTTTTGTCGAGGAGGCCATAGAAACCAGAACAGGGTTGGGGCTTGGACTTGATGTGATGAGGAGTTAGGATACTGCTGACCCAGGAGGATTTCCCTTGTTACAGAGGGATTGGAAAAGCGTGGGAGGCACAAGGGTAGGAAGGGCTGTGACTCCTAGTTCTCTGTGAGTGTCCAGGGGCACCCAGCCCTGGAGAATCTATGCCGGAGTTATTACCAGTGGCTGATGGACACACAGCAGGAGGAGCGAGCAGGTGAACTACAGGAGAGCCAAGGGGACAGGCTAGTAGCCATCAGCCTCTACCTCAAAGCTGGGCTCCCTGCCAAAGCTGCTTGGCTGGTGCTGTCCCGAGAGGAACTGCTAGCCAGCACAGAGCTGGTAGAACACATCACTGCAGCCCTTATCAAGGGGGAACTCTACGAAAGGGTATGCTCACTTCCTCTTCCTAGCCCTTATCTCCAGAGCTCAGGACCCTTCTCTCGCCCAGAGGAGTCTCAGGACACAGAGCGCTTCCTGACTGCTGGTGTTCCCTTGTTTTTGGAGCTAATACTTGATTCTTTGTGTTGTAGGGGTACCATGGTAATGGGGTATGTGTTAACAGGCAGGTGATCTCTTTGAGAAGATTTAAAATCCACAGCAGGCCTTGAAGTGCTACCGTAAAGGGAATGCGTTCATGAAAGGTACTAGCCCCCTATAAGCCATCCTTTACTGTTATGGACTCTTGCCCGTCTGTCTCCTCAACACCTCTTGGTTATCTGGTTCAGGTTACATGGCTCCAGTTCTCCATTCCTCCTCTTCTCACCTCCCCTTCTCACTCCATGCTTCATCTCCCTGTCCTACCATTTTCCTGAGGTCCATCCATGGAAGTCTGGGCTGAGCACCTTTTCTCTCCCTGGCAGTAGAGCTGGCTCGATTAGCCTTCCCAGGGGAGGTGGTGAAACTAGAGGAGGCATGGGGGGACCACCTGGTGCAGCAGAAGCAGCTTGATGCAGCCATTAATCACTACATCGAAGCCAGGTGTGGGAGTATGGGAGTGTAAAGGACATTTGGGTGTGAAGTGAGGGGCAGTAGAGCCAGTAAGGACACCAAGGCTGAAAAGAAGAGATCTCAAAATGTAGGTGGAAGTGTGCTTAAGGGGTCCCTTTACCTCCGTTCATCTTCATCTTTCAGCCTACATATTTATATCTTTCCCAACTTTGCCAGGTGTTCCATTAAGGCAAGTGAGGCCGCCCTGGGTGCCCGTCAGTGGAAGAAGGCAATTTATATATTAAATCTACAGGACCGGAACACCGCGTCCAAATACTGTCCTCCCATGGCCCAACACGATGCATCTCTGCAGGAGTATGAGGTGAGGGAGAGTCCTTTCCGCAGCATGATGTGGTGCAGTAGAGGATAACAGTGAGAGAACCTGAAACAGGAAGTGGAGGCCAGTTCACCTGATCCTTCTTTCTGGGCCCCAAACAGCATCACCACCTTGAATGTGAAAAGAACAGTTTACTTTCCCAATTTCATTCCAGCGTGACACAGATACCTCCCTTCACCCCAGATGTATAAAGTGAGTCTCTATCTCTGTTCCAGCCAGCATGAGTGATTCTTGATGAATAACTCTAACATAGTTACAATATAAAATTGCTTTGCATTGCAGGAATGTGAGGCCGTTTTGAATTCCACTGTATTGTCCTCGTACTGTTTGGGGCTGGCCTTTCTTTTTAAATGGTAGACTGTGTGAGACACCCATACTCATCTTTTCTTCTCTGTTACTATAAGGTCATATCACAGGCTCTCCACCATCCCAGCTGAGGTTGTTCTTTCCTTGTTGAAGCTACTTTAAGTCTGTTGCTCTGACTTTTGTATCTACCTCTCATCAACTACAGATTGCTGAGAAGCTTTATACTGAGGGAGACCGCACAAAAGACGCTATAGACGTGAACACCCAGGCTAGCCATTGGGAACAAGCCCACAAGGTAGAGATGGGTGGAGTTTATGATAAGAGAACTCTGCCTTAGTGGCAGTGTGGCCTCGTTCCTGGGTTTGTTTCTCCTCTTTGCTTGGCTCCCTGAAAGTTGACAGAGAGAACCAGAAAAACAGTCTGTGCCACTTTGATGTATAACTGAAAAATATTTCCAGAAGCGGAGGCAAGAATGAAGAAATGTGGTAAAGGAAGATCCTTGGGTAGAACATGATAGAGTGGCAAGAATAAATTAACTGCTCCTATTCCCTAGGGCTCAGAACAGTGTTTAATTTTTGGCTGTTCTAAGAAGGGTGGAGAGGGAACAGATTGTAAAGCTAGCACTGCAGACTGCACTAAGCCAGTCACTTGCTTCTGGGTAGTGGAAGTGTGATTCTGTCAAATGCACAGTGAACTTTTCTTTTTTTGGAAGCACAGAGCTCATGAGGTATTTTATTTGTAAATATGTATTACATCTCTAGAAAAAGAATCCTTGCATTTTCCCTCCTATGTGTTGCTGTCTTGCTTCTTCATGGTTCATGATACCAGCTGAGGTTGTCAGTACAATTAAACCAAACCGGCTGCCGGGCGCGGTGGCTCACGCCTGTAAATCCCAGCACTTTGGGAGGCCGAGGTGAGCAGATCATGAGGTCCCGAGTTCGAGACCAGCCTGGCCAATATGGTGAAACGCTGTATCTACTAAAAATACAAAAATTAGCCGGGCATGGTCGTGGGCACCTGTAGTCCCAGCTACTTGGGAGTCTGAGGCAGGAAAATCGCTTGAACCTGGGAGATGGAGGTTGCAGCAAGCCGAGATCCTGCCATTGCACTCCAGCCTGGGCAACTGAGCGAGACTCCATCTCAACAACAACAAAAAACCAAACTGGCAGGATGGGAGCAGATTATTCTGCCATTTTTCTAGATCTCTGAGTTGCATGTCGAACCTGGGGCTAATCCCTCCACACTTGTTTAGCCTGCCTGTGAGGTTCACAACAATTTTCCTATCTCTGTGATCATCAATGATTTCAAATCCGCCCAATGTAACCATATTTCATCATCACAGTTAGAAACCGGACGATGACTTTGGAGCACAGCCTGATAAGAACCTGGTGTTTGCCTCTCTTTCCGGCATTGCTGATGCTCTTCACAGCATCAGCCAGGACATTCATGCGCACCATTGTAGCGGCGCAGAAAGATGGTGGAAAGAGCAAAGTGAACTTTTCTTAAGCAACTGTTATAAATGCCAATTGTGGAGTCTGATGCTGAGGGTGATCTTGTTCATTTTTTGGAGAGACTGTGTTTCTGATAATGTAGCTGGGGCTCAGGAGGAGGTGGTGAGCACCAGGAGCCCTCCTGGCCCTGTCAGCATAGGACTTCGAGGCTCACCCTCCCTTCCCCTTCGCAGGCCCATTCTCCTTCCTCAGGAGCAGCTGGCCTCAGGGAAGGCATAGGCTTTTCCAGACATCTCTTGATCCACGCCAACAGTGACGTGGTCTTCACAGGGCTGCCTCCCTATCTTTTTATCTCTGTGCTTTTCTGTCACTTCATGTCTGTTATCCTTAAACCTGTCGCTTTTTCTCCACTCAACCCTGTCCTTTCTCTGTTTTGTCTTGTTCCTTTTATGAAGGGAAGTGTGAAGTAAGAAAACTTTATCTGCACCTTCTGTTTCAGCAACTTTGAATTTGCTTTTGAACTCTCTCGGCTGGCCCTCAAGCACAAAACCCCCGAGATCCATCTCAAATATGCTATGTACCTGGAGGATGAGGTATGGGTGTGATTTGGACCCTGACCGCATAGCCCTCTTGTTCCATGCCCTAGTACACTGCTGCTGGTGTGCAGACCCTGGTCTCGTGGCTGCCTGTGATGCCAGTCTCCTTCTCATCACACACGGCTGTCCTTCTCCTTGTAGGGTAAATTGGAAGAGGCTGAAGCTGAATTCATCAGAGCTGGTAAACCCAAGGAAGCAGTCCTCATGTGAGTTACCCCATACATTCCTTAATCCTGTTTCCCCAGTTACAGTCCCCGGATCTTTCATGATTATCTTGACCTTCATTCAAACCTAGAACAAATCAGTGTTACACCCCTCAGTGACATGGCTGTTTGTCTCCCAGAATTGGGGCCTCAGTCCTATATTCAGTCTCTCCTCTGTCCCCATCTGGGAGCAAGTTTGTCCATAACCAGGACTGGGAGGCAGCTCAGTGTGTGGCCGAGGCCCACATGAGGTGCTTGTGGGACAGGCCCAGAGGGCCTTGGAGGAGGAGGACTTTCAGATAGTAGAAGGGCTTCTGCTCCGGGCCCAGAGATCAGGCCTGACTTTCAGTTATTATAAGGTGGGGCACTGGATTCAGGGCCATGAGGGGTGGGGGAGAGGGTCTGAGAACCCACAGAGAGCCACACTGACCCCTGGTATGAAGAAAGATCAGGGAGGTTAGTACTGGGGAGTGGGAAAGACAGGAAAGAGGAAGGAGAAGAGAGGTCTAAGGACCCAGGAGTCCGTGGGCCAGGGCACCTGTGTGGCAGTGGGAAGCTGTCCTGCCTGCCTCTGCCGTCTTGATACCTGGAAATCTGAGCAGGAGGCTGGATTATGGAGTGACGTGCTGCGGATCTGCAAGGACTATGTGCCCGGCCAGCTGGAGGCTCTGCAGGAAGAGTATGAGCGGGAAGCTACTAAGAAGGGGGCCAGGTATGAGGCCAGAGGTCTAGCAGCAGTGGCAGGGCTGGGAGGGCCACGAGGCATGCACAGGACAGAGCACACTGCCCCCCCATGCCTAGTCCCAGTGCTCCAATCTCCACAGGGGTGTGTAGGGGAACAAGCTCGACACTGGGAGCAGGCTGGAGAGTATAGTCGTGCCGTGGACTGCTACCTCAAAGTGCGAGACTCTGGAAACAGCAGCCTGATGGAGAAGTGCTGGATGAAGGTGAGCGCAGCAGGCTCTTTCGGGCCCTCCTTCTTCCTAGGCCTCCATTCACACTCAGCTTCCCTTCTCACATCTGCAGCTGTCTCTGTGTCTTTTCCTTTTCAATCAGGTAGAAGGAATCTGTAGAGGGCCTGCTGGATGATAAGACAGAGCCCTGATAGCTAAAAGTTAAGGGAGTTGGACTAACACATGGCTCACTTAATATCATATCTGAGTAAAGACCAAAGTGCATGACTTAGAGTTCAGTATTTTGGTGAGCAAAGAAAAGTCAAACTTGGTGTTTTCAAAGTTATTTTTACAACTTTAAAAATCATTGGGTCAGGCACAGTAGCTCACTCCTGTAATCCCAGCACTTTGGGAGGCTGAGGTGGGTGAATCATCTGAGGTCAGAAGTTTGAGACCAGCCTGGCTAACATGGTAAAACCCCATTTTTTCTAAAACTACAAAAAATTAGCCGGCCATGCTGGCCAACGCCTGTAATCCCAGCTACTCGGGTATGGTGGCGCATGCCTGTAATCCCAGCTATTCGGGAGGCTGATGCAGCAGAATTGCTTGAACTGGGAGACAGAGGTTCAAGTCTCCCAACTTCAATCCTTTTTTTTTCTTTGAGACGTAGTTTTCCTCTTGTTGCCCAGGTTGCAGTGAGCTGAGATCACGCCACTGCACTCTGGCTTGGACAACAAGAGTGAAACTCCAGTTCAAAAAAGACAAATGATGTCTTGATATGCTATCCTTTCCAACTTTGTTCCTACAGTATTACTTAATACATTTTTCTGAAATACCATTCTGTTGGCTTCTGGTCAACAACCTTCACAGTGATGACCCTGTGCCATCTATGTATTGTCCAAAATGTTTTCATTTTCTTAATGGCCCCAGACAAGGCTTTTAGAAAGCTCCATGCTGCATTCTGGTGTGTGTGGTGGTGCGCGCCGGTAGTCCCAGCTCCTTGGGAAGCTGAGGCAGGAGAATCGCTTGAACCCAGTAGGCGGAGGTTGCAGTGAACTGAGATCATGCCACTGCACTCCAGCCTGTGACAAAGTGAGACTCTGTCCCAAAAAAAAAAAAAAAAGGAAGAAGAATGCTTTGGCCTGTTTTATTAATCTTTGTTATAGCATGAATTGATTCCTTGTACATTTTTTGTGTAGTGAATTAGCCCTGGAGAATCCAGCCACGTCTGGATGACCTGACAGAATAAATGTTCCAGACTTGGAAAATGAGACTGTAGATTCTGGGGCAGAGTGATCCTCTAAGGTCATTTAATTTCCCTCTCTGACATCTCTTTTCTGTCCCAGTGCAATAGCAGCTAGGAAATGTGTCAAGCCTTAGATTTAGGAAACCGTATGTCTCAAATGTTCTGAGAGTACCTACTTAAAATGTCCTAGCTTTCTTTAATTTACTTGATCTTGCATTCTAGTTTGTGGTTTGGCACATTTAACCCCATACCTGGACTTCTAGGGAGTGACTGGCTCTAGAGAAAATGCTTGTAGAGCAGAACAGGCCACTTGGAAGGCCTGCGTCTTTGAAACCTTGCCTCTATACTCCCTACTTAATGACAAGCTGTCTAGCCCAGTCCTAGAAGAGTCATAAAGGAGTTCTTCCCTGAGTTTGGCTGTCAGAGCAGAGCCTATGGACAGCTGCAGGAAGGGGCAGCAGATGCTACTTTGGGTGTGGCTCAGAGAAGAGACCTAAGCAGCATGCACACTGACTGCATGCTGTCAGATTTACCTTGGAAAGCCCATTGTGATGTCACATGAAGTCACAGCCTGGAGGCAGAAAACTCATCGGCCGAGAAGAGCATCTGGTTGAAAAATGGCACCAATTTGGGGGATGGACATCCCACTGCCATCATGTATCAGCCTTTTATTATTATTTGTTTTTTTTATTTTGGGGCTTTGGATGCTGTTTTCTGGGAATCAGAGCTGGAAGCAGGTGCTAGCCAAGATGAACTCAGAGGTATGCGATGTAGCCCTCCCTTGAAACTCACTGCTCCCTGCTCCTGAGGCCACAGAAACTCCTATACTTTGGGTGAGGGAAGGAATTGGATGTGGGAAGAGGGAAGCAGAGACAGTGCCCATGATGTCTTCCTATAGGTCACTATAAATCATTTTTCCTTCAATTCATTTCAATAGACCTTGAGCACCTGTTATATACGGCAGTGTAGTAGACATTGAGGAAGAATAAAAAGCTATCCCCACTTTCTAGGAGCTCGAGGGGAAGTGGGGGAGACAGATAGTCACATAACTTCAAGGAAAGAGAATGTGTTAAGAGTTAATAGATGTATAAATGTTGCTAAAGACATGGGAGGTAGACAGCATTTGAACTAGGGGCTCTATAAACTGCCGTCAGGGAGAGCTCAGGTTTGAGTATGCTTCAGAGGAAGAGTGGGATTTGGAAGGTGGTTGGGGTGAATACATTGGAAAAAAGGCATGGGAAAGGGAAGAGTATTGGATATGTTTGAGGAGAGATTGTAGTCCTATGAGGACTGCATTCACCAATCTGGATGGAGTATAGAACTGTAGGGACTCAGAGCGAGAAAAGGTTGAAAAGTTGACAGAGGTCACATTGTAGTTTTGAACGCCAGGCTGAATACTTTGTGTAAATAACACTCTGTGCAGTTTGAAAGATATCAAAGATTTTAAAGCCAGGCAAAAATGTGCTTAGATCTGTGCTTTAGAGCAATGCTTCTCAAACTTTAACATGCATATGTATCACCTGGGGGGTCTTGTTAAAAAGCAGATTCTGGTGTAGGAAGTCTGGGGTAGGGATTGAATTTCTACAGTTCTAACAAGCTCCCAGGTGATGCTGCTGCCCTTGGACCGGGACCACACTTTAAGAGTGAGGCTTTAAATACCTCCAGCAAGCTTTTATTATAGTTCTCTGGCATAGCTAGGCCATTTTAATGGTTTAGTGGGAAGAAGGGAGGAAATAAAAGAATAAGAGCAGTATGGTGAAAAAGAGAAAATAGCAGGGCGGGGAGGGGGGGGCTCACGCCTGTAATCCCAGCACTTTGGGAGGTTGAGGTGGGTGGATCACTTGAGGTCAGGAGTTCAAGACCAGCCTGGCCAACATGGTGAAACCCTGTCTCTACTAAAAATACTAAATTAGCCAAGTGTGGTGGCATGCACCTGTAGTCCCAGCTACTGGGGAGGGTGAGGCACGAGAATCACTTGAACCCAGGAGGTGGAATTTGCAGTGAACTGAGATCACGCCACTGCACTCCAGCTTGGGTAACAAGAGGGAAATGCCGTCTCAAAAAAAAAAAAAGAGAGAGAACATAAATTAATTCCCCAAATATTTATCCCCCACCCATCCCCCCATTTGCACTCCTCTCTGCACTATTGATACAGCAGTAAGTGGAAGAGGTGAAAGTATCTGCTGTCAGGGCTGTGAAAGTGGAGGCGGTCTTGGGGTGAACATCTGCATGTGGAAGGTGATGCAAGACTCCCTTGCAAAGGAGGGAGAAGGGACTGAGTCTATTTTTCTTCATGCAGAGTCAGTCATAAACATTATCATCATTTTCTATGAGGACTACATTCATCAAGGCACTTCCCAGTGCCTAGTATACTGCCTGGCATATTAGTAAGTGCTCTGTAGTTGTGAAATGAATGAAAGACTTCTCGATTTTAACCCTGAATGACTCACAAGATGATGGTGTTTTAAACAACATAGGCAACATTAGACAGGAAAAGTTGTGAATATGGTAGAAGGCAGAAAATCAACTATTATATTGGAAGTGCTTGTAGAATTTATGTGTAGATATTCACCAAGCATCTCAAATTAATGGCCAGGACCTATGATGTTCAATATTGTATCCACTAGTCATATGTGACCATTTAAATTTTTTATTTTTGAGACAGGGTCTCACTCTGTCACCCAGGATGGAGTATGACTCATGGCTCACTGCAACCTCAAACTCTCAAGTTCAAGTGATTCACCCATCTCAGTCTCCCAATTAGCTGAGACTACAGGCCTATGCCATCATGCCTGGCTATTTTTTGTATTTTTCTGATAGAGACAGGTTATCGCCATGGTGCCCAGGCTGGTCTCAAACTCCTGGGCTCAAGCAATCCACACACCTCAGCCTCCCAAAGTGCTGGGACTACAGGCGTGAGTCACCACACCTGGCCGTAAATTAATTAAAACTAAATAAAATTTAAAATTCAGTTTCTGGCTGGGCATGGTGGCTCACACCTGTAATCCCAGCACTTTGGGAGGCTGAGATGGGTGGATCACGTAAGGTCAGAAGTTGGAGACTACCCTGTCTCTACTGAAAATACAAAAATTAGCTGGGTATAGTGGCACATACCTGTAGTCCTAGCTACTTGGGAGGCTGAGGCAGGAGAATGACCTGAACCTGGGAGGTGGAGGCTGCAGTGAGCCAGGATGGTGCCACTGCACTGCACTCCAGCCTGGATGACAGAGCAAGACACTGTCACAAACAAAGGCAGCACACACAGAACCCCCAAAGCTAATTGTGTCACTCTGCTAAAAGTAACTAAGCACACAAAAGTTCTCTGTACCCTGTTGTCTGCAGCAGCATTTTCAAACCTTTTTGACTCTCAAACTTCTTTCACTCTCATAATTTTGTCAACCTCCTTAGGAACTTAAGTATTTTGTCCATTTTTTCATAACATGTAAGTTATATTAGATAAATTTTATTTTAAAACAATAACTTTTTACAATTGGAAAGTTATTTGAACATCATCTTAAAGTGTAAAAGTCAAATGTCTACTTTTTCTTCTGTAACAAGTGATGCATGACATTT